ATTAATAAATCATTATTAAAAACAATAGGATTATCATTTAACGTATTCTAGAAAAGTTAGGAAAACAATAGCTAATATGAATTTAAATTTTATTGGCCTTACTCTTGATCTCGAAATAGATTACAACACACAAAAATACATTGAATCAAAAATGCGTAAGGACATTTGCTTTTTTTTCATTTTATCACCTTGTGTATTTAACCTTTTTTAATATTTGTTACCACAGAAAATTTTCCGAAAGATGACCTCAACTCGCCTTTTATAAAATTGGAGATCTCTCCACAAAACTTTATTTCAGAAGAATTTAAAGAACAAAGGTAAAAACTACCTATTTTATTATATTCCTTGTCAACAAAATCTCATGTACAACTTACAAATAACATATAATAGGAGTAATACGATTATATCCGTATTAGGGACTATTTTTGGCTATTATAGTGTCATGATGGCACTCTATTCATTTTTATTTAGTAAGGAAGTTTAAGCGCATGTGATTCAGCGCATTGTTCAATGTCATGTGCTGATCAACAATCACGTTGCTCTGCAAAGGCAACATCAAACAATATGATAAAACACTAATGTGAACCAATGCATAGAACAATGCATTATTGTAAATTATTTATTACATAAAACAACATGTAATCAATGTGTAGAATACATAGCATTGTGTTATTTATTTATTATATATATATATATATTATTTTTACATAATGCTTATAAATAAATAGAAATAAAATATAAACTAATTTTAAGTGAAATATGAAATACTTATTTTATTATTTTCTCTTCATTATTATCACTAGAATTACCTTCATTTTTTTCATCTTCATCGTCATTATTTTTTATGCCTTCAATTAATAACTCTTCACATCCAAGCTAGAATGGAATAAATATATTAAAATCAAACAATATGTAATATAATAATTTACCAAATTTTGCATAAGTGGGTTAGAGCTCCATTGTTTCATATGTTCCTGTACCTTCAAAGCTGAAATTTCAGCTTGATCATATTTTGGATCCAAGAATAGAGGTTGGAATCGACTAAAATAGTCAATTAAACTTTTTTTTGAACAACTAATAGTCGACTATTTTAGTCGATTATTTAGTTGACTATCTTAGTCAACTACTAATACTACTAATACCATCAATATGATGATGACGACAATAGTAGCGGTGTTGTTGATGATAATTTTATATGCGAATGAGTAAACACTTCCAATGCAAGGTCCAATAGTTCATTGGCTTCAAGTTCCAATGATTTAAGCGGTGGTCCCAGAAGACCTTTAAAAAAACGAATCATAGCACATGGTTTTGTGTGGAAGCATTTTAAAAAAGTGAAAGATTCAAATGGAAATGAATTCGTAATTTGCAAATTAAAAAAAAAAAGAAATATTATTATTATAAAAAAAAAATTTTTAGATTAGTCAACTAAAATAATCAACTAAATAATCAACTAAAATAGTCAACTAAAATAGCCAACTAAATTAATCAACTAATAGTTGACTAAAGAAATTTTGACCAACTAGTAGTTGACTAAGGATTTTTTGGACGATTCCAACCTCTATCCAAGAACATTAAGATTGCCATAACACCAAATATGATATTATTTTTATATTGTAGTTCTTCTTTATTGAATGCTCTTGCAGGATAGCTTCAATTTATATAAGGGGAGTTCTGATCATTTTTTTCTACCTTGTCACAGAGATTGCAACTTGTTTATTTAACTTTTTCCAATGTCTAACTTCTTTGAGCTGGCAAATTGATTGAGTTTATCAGAAATAAATTTAAAAAGATACAAGTAACATCTTTTATTTTGTGCACATATGTGATTCTGAGAGTATGAAAGTATTCCAATGTCTATATCAATAAAATAGATGGTTTATTATTAATATGATTTTTTTTGATTCTAATTCTAATTTTTTTTTTTTTAAATTTTCAGCATTTAATCTTTCCACCTCCAATTGTCTCTCTGAATTTCTAATCCTAAACAATTTTATACTTTTCCAATTGTATTTTGGAATCAATTTCTTTCTCTTGCAATTCAATTTTTTTAACAAGGAAGTTATCTTTAGATTGATTCATCAAAACCATTAAATCTGAAAGAGCTTCATAATTATTTTTTTTTGTTTTTTTATTTTTCAATTCATCTTTTTTTTTGGGAGGGCTTATTTACTCAACTTCTTCATTATCTGTGTAAGTATCATTAATGAATAATGCCAAATATGTAGGACTTACATTCTCTCTTGTACCAAATATTTCATCTAATTTGTCAAACCATTTCCATTTAGTTGGTCTTATTAGCTGATTTTTTTTCTTTTAAATATGAATTATGTAATTTATTCAACTTATTTTTTATTCACTCATTATTTTTACCAGCCAATAAATTTTTATCTATCAAAGCTTGATAAAATTTGTTTTTATTACCAGAGGATCAATTCTTATAATTTTCATCCAGATAGGCAATTAAAATTTCTATTTCTCTGTCACTCATTGACTATCTTTATTTTCTTTATTTTTTAAACAAATATTTTTATGTTCACAAACATGCTATTGCTGGTGTTGATTTGGAAATTGATTTAATTGAAGAAAGGGTGCAGGATAAATATTTTGTTGTTCATCAGTACTAGGAAAAGCAATTGGAGCTTAATAACTAATTTGTTGTTGTTGATGATATTTGTCAGTATTAGGAAAAACAACCTTTGTAACTGGATAAATATTTTGTTCTTCTTGCTGATGATAATGTTCATCAGCATTCATGAAAACTACTTCCGGAGCTGGATAAATATTTTTTTGATGGTAATATTGATTATTAATAGAAGTTGCCTTTTGGACTGGATAAACACTTTATTGTTGTTGTTCATCATTGTTAGTAGTAGAAGCTGTATTTTGAAATGGATAAATGCTTTGTTGTTGTTGCACGTCATTATTCTTAGTAGAAGAAGTTTCCTTTTGAATTGGATAAATGCTTTATTGTTGTCATTCATCATTATTAACAGAAGTTACTTTTTGAACTGGATAAATGTTTTGTTGTTGCACATCATTAGAAAACCAGGGATAAGGAATTTTTAAACGACTTAGCTGGCTAAAAAAAATTTCTCTTGACATTCATTTTTACATCTGGAATTTTAGTGCAGAATTCAGTGGCATAGACATTTAGTTGAAATATGGGTCCACCTGCATTACTTAGAATGATGAAAAACATACATTTGCTCAAAAGGCAAAATAAAATACTGCTCATCATAACAGGATAAAATCCGTAGAGTTTCTATTCGTAATACAAATTCTTATTTAATTCGAATTATTATTATTCATTCTATTCGAATTATTCGCTTATTCAGAACACTTCAAATACTAGTTGTACAGATAAATTACAACATAATTGATGAAAATTCCATCGAAGAAGCTGATGAAAATTTTATTGAAGAATCAAATAAAAATGAAAGCAGTTTTGATTTTTATGATATTTAATTCATTTAATCTAATTAATGATTCAATTAAATGTATAAATAAAACCTTTAATTATAAAAAAGTGTAGGTTGAATAAATTAAAGATTTAATTGCTGCGCTGCAATGTTCATGCTTATCGTAATAGCCAAATAAAATTTTTTTTCTTATTATAATAGAATTCAGTTTGTATTACATTTGAAAATCACCCGATCAAATTTCAGCACTACTATACATACTATACGCACTATACGCACATTTGCCCATCTCTAGAATTTTATGTAGTGAGAAAAAATCAAAACAATACGGTCAGAACCCGTTTAACCAAAATCAATGTTTCACAAAAAAATCTTTGGTTTAAAAAGTTTTAATGATAAAGTCAATAGATAGATAATAAAAAGGCAACGGTTTATCATGTATATTGGTTTTATCAAAGATTGTCTTAACAAGCCCTGACTGTAGAAAGATATTAGCACTTAACCAATTTAGATATAATTCTGCATTAATATTCCAGATCTGAAGATCGTTTTTCTTGTCTGAGTGATTGTTAGTTGTTAACTGTGACATTTTTTTAATATGTTATCAGAGAGATGAGGAACTTGTATAACAAATTATATCTAAATTATGGCAAATAAAATAAATTTGCACGCTAAGCGCAAAAATTTTTGCTCATGAGGATCATCACTATTTATGGTTAGATGTTACAACGCAGTAACGCTAGATTATTACGTTATTATTGTAATAGCGATGGATAATTTTGATTGGCACCTTTTTCTGTCTTCAACAAAATAATGGGACTCTTTTTCTTGTCAATTTCATTTGTTTTATTTGAATAAAATTTCAATAATTCAATGTAATTAATGCCCAAATCAATTACAGATAGTTGGAATAATTTGAATAATTCTTATTCGAATAGAAACTCTAATTAAAAATCATTGTACAATCGTAATAGATAACGTCACTGATTGATATTGGGAGAACGTGTTTTTAATTGGTGATAACAATTATTTTTAGTTGTGTGAATAGGCAATTAACGAATTAATTTCTATTAGCGAATAATTTTGTAATAGTAAGAATTTGTTTAAATAAAATATTATTTTATTTTTGTTTATTTAGTTTTACTTAGTCGAAACTAATTAATTTGTTAGAAAGTTACTTTACAGCAGGTCAGATTTGAGTTCCTCATATACATGTGGGCTTTCCCTCCCAAGTTGGGTGTTTTCGCCCACTCTAAATATTAGTACGAAATAAATAGAATATACGGAATGTAACACGAACCCATATTTAATATTAACAGTCACAGGACATGTCACGCAGATCAATATTTTTTATTTTGAAAAAAATAAAAATATACAATTACAAAACATATAATTTTTTAATTATTGATTCAAATGCCTTTGTTTGTTACTAAGATGTTCATTTATAAAGAAAAATTAATTATAAAGGGAAGTTAATTACAAAAAAATGAATCAGGAGAGTTCATTATTATTATAGAGATTTGTTTTTTTTTATTTTTTATTTTATTCTTTTGATTTATTTACAAGACATATGGGGCATGCTGCAACAAAACCAGACAATGCGAACATTGGTATTACCAAGAATTTCAGGGATCAATATTATTTATTTAATATCACAACTAGTCATGCCCCTAATTGTTTGATGCTATATTACAATGATGACTTGACACAAACTACCAATAAAACCTTTCTCTCTATTAAAACAGAAATGAATCCAATGCCATTTAAATTGTCCATAATGGCAAGTTTTAACACCTTTTACAATATTAGCAAATAATATTTATCACATCTGAATCTAGTTACTGTAAAGTTTTACAAATTTTTTCTTTACATAAAATGTGTGATTTTTTTTAAAATATAAAAAATATTTTTTCAATAACTTGGAATATAAGAAATACTAAAACAAAGAGTTCAGAGTTTATAAATATGACAACAATCAATATTTAACTCAAATTAAAAAATAACATTATATATGATCTTAATTTGGACAAGTTCAAGGACTACTTTATAATAATAACATCTATTACCTTTTTTTGAATCTGACTCCACAGGATCAATTGATATTCTTCTGTCACCAACTCCTTCATCAATATATTTCATTATGTTGGTAACACTTGATTTAATAAGATCTTAATTGAATTTTTAAAAATTTAAATCAAATTTACAATCATCCATTAATTAATTCATTTGTCAAACAGCCTACCTTTGTGTGCCAAAGATTAAATGTGAACATATCCAACTCCCTGAACAAAGTTCTAATTGATGTTTGGCAGTCATATTCGCACTCCAGTTTGAAGTAATAGATTGCATGGTATGGCATGCATAAAGAATAAACTAAAGACTAGTGCTGTAATCCAAAAAAGGAAAAAGTATGGTTGCTGTAAATACAATACTATCATCATCATAATTTACAGCACTAGTCTTTAGAATAAACATAAAATTCATTTTCTATAAAATTTTGTATCAATAAGAAAATCAATTATTTGAGAATTTGAAAAGTATCAATCAAATCCACAAATCTGGAAATCTTTATTGTAAATTTGAATTCCATATAATCTTACTTTTCTAATAATTTCAAAATGGCCAGGATGTTTTTTGATTATATAATTTAGAATTATCTTCAACATTTTTGCCAATTTATTTCTGTCACCAATATAATGACTATGATCACTGTTTGTTGGAGAACCAGACACTTCAAGTACAGAAAGCTCTAACTGGAGTTCAGCAATACTAAAAATCAAGTCAATTTTATTACCATGATTGCGGTGTAAATCATCATGAAGCGATTCATTTTTGAGTATAGCTGATGACTTCAGTGTTGTTTCTCCCCTATTGAAGTAATGAGTTGAATAGGTTGGTAGGTTATAATAAATAAGAACAAGAAAATAAAATGAAATTACCAATTTAATTCAAGAGTCTCTTCATCTTTAAATATTAGACTGATAAATTTCAGATACAAAATTTATGATGTAATTATATTCACTTTGATCTTTTAACAAACTATTTTGTCCTTTAAATTGGTCTTTACTATAATTTAAAAAATTCACATGTGAGTAAGTTATATACAAGAAGATTTTTTGAGAATAGATAGATATTTACAAAATCTTCACCAACTTCAAAGGTTGCTTTTTCCAGCAGTACTCAAGTTGATTCCTTAACTTTTCTTTTTCCATTTTGATAATATTTTTGATCCTTCCACTGATGTCTGTTTTTTTTTAAAAAAAAAAAAAATAATAATTAGGAATGAACAGGTATAATGATCTGTGAAACAAGGTGGTTTGATTGTTTACCACTTTATTATTCAAAATCGATTTAATATATTCTTTTAATATAAAACCATCATGTAAATCCATATTCAATAATAGATCATTCTCAACAAGTGTAATTAAAAGATTCCAATTGTTTTTAAATATTGTCTGTGCTTGGGTTGCAGATGTTGGGATGGTGTCAATGATGTTAAAATTAAGAAGGCTAAATAAAACATACATGGTATCATTTTCAATGCTCAAAAGGCTTTACAATAATATAATAATAATGGTAAATAACATACTCCTGTTTTTGTATCTTCACTGCAATTTGTATATTTCTTTTCCAGTTTTTAATAACATCTCTAACATTTAACTAGAATTACAACAAGTTGCAATGCATCACCACCACCACACAACTCTTTTTTAAAAATTAGAGTGATGACAGGCGGTAACAACCACATCCTTAAAACATCTGTATTTTCTTTTTTTCTTTAGTTGTTATTATGCTGTTGTGGCATGATAAATTAAAAGAATAATAATTTGTTATTTGATCAACATGTACACTAATTATTTATGTGTGGATTTTTTTTTTTGACATGTGATTGATTTTTTTCACAAGGTGACAAAATGTAGCTCTCCTAAAGAAGATGTGTTAATAACAAAGGTACTATTTTTTATTTGTATTGATATAATGTGGTGTCTTTTAGTTTATAAATATTTTAATTGGAATCAAAAAATGGAGCAGATCTTGCTGGGTAATTACAAGATTCTTATCAAGATAGTAAACAAATGAATGATTGGTATTTTGCTTTGTGTAATTGTTATCAATAATAATAATAATATTACTATAATTAATTACAAGATGTCAAGGCAGCATGACTGACTGTTGCAGAAGAAACAACTCAAGTATGATTATCAGAAATTAGCAGGCATTGAAGCACACATGCTACCCTGAACAATCTTAGTAGATAGTACATTTGAGGTTTAATAGTAAATCACCTTTTCTCTACCCACTTTTTTTAGAAAATTATACCCAGATATAAATATACCATATGAAAAATATCCAAAATTCAAATATACCATATGTAATTTTTCTTTCCACTAAATTTAAATTTTTATTAAAATATAATTATTTTTTTCCATAATTATTTTCAATTGATCTTTTACACTATCTTGATTAAAAAATTAAAATTTCTCTAAATCTAATCCATTTAATGTTAATAACCACATGGTTTATCATGAAATGCAAAATCACCATAACCCAGATAATATATGCAAAAATTGAAGCCAGTAAAATAGTTTCTGATCTTATGAAGAAAGGCAAGTGGTTTCAAGATGTATAAGAAGCTGGTCAAAGACTTTTTTAGAATATGATGATGTTCCTAAATCTAGACATGGTCAACATTTAATCAGAAGCAGTATATTAGATGATGAGGATGTGGGATCCAAAATTAGTTTATATTTAAGAATAAATAAATTTGATATAACAAATTCTAAATTTTGTGATTATGTATCTGATGAGATCTTACCAATGATTGGAATTGAAAATAAAACAAGTATAAGATAATATTTTTTATAAAATATTTTTATTTATAAAGTTAATTATATAAATGCTTGCTTACACTAGTGCCAGTACAGCAAAAAGATGGTTTAAAAAGATGGGATTTGTTTATTCTAAATTTGCAAAGGGAGTTCATGTTGATGGACATGAGTATGGAGATGTTGTTGAATATAGAAAGAAATTTTTAGAAGTCATTGAAAGGTAATTTTAATTTTATTCTTGTTTATATATACAATTAATTAATTAGATTTATCATGTCACAATAGTTACCAGAAATTGATGCCTAAATTTACTGTTGATGATTTGGAAATTCAGATTAACCTGAATTGGAAGAAGATGAAAAGATACATGTATGAACACAGGATGAAACAACATTCCAATCTAATGATGATGAAAAATCAGGTTGGAGACCAAGGAATGAACAACCACTGAGAAAGAAAGGTCAAGGGAGAACAATGCATGTAAGTGACTTTTTAACTGAAACAATTGGTAGACTTAAATTATCAGATGAACAAAAATTAGAGGTTGAAAAGAACTTTTCTCATAATGCTCAAGTCATCATATGTCCTGGAAAGAATGCATATGGCTGGTGAGATCTTGAACAGCCAATATATCAATATCAAGATAAAGGATAATTAATAATTACATATGTAAACTCAATAAGTTGATCATGTGGGGGTGAGCTCATATGACCGACTTATCAAGTAAACCAACTTATTGAATTAAATTACTTAAATATTAAGAAAATGGGGTGAAAATTTTATCAAGTAAACCAACTTATCGAATGACCGACTTATTGAGTTTACATATGTAACTAGATTTATTATTTTTAGATTGTTAACAAGGCCATACCAATTTTTGAACTAACACATCCTAATAGGATTGCAGTATTTGCATTTGATCATTCATCAAGTCATACTAAAGTGACAGATGATGCATTGAATGCATTTACAATGAATCTAAGCCTTGCAGGGGGACAAACAACTATGATGGATATTATTTTTGATGGTAAAGTTCAAAAAATGGTATTTCCAGGTGATTCTCATGTAGAAAAACCAAAAAGAATGAAGATAATTATTTTTGAAATTCGAACATGTGACGCAGCAATCAGAGGTCTTTAGACCAAAGCCAACCATATCTGAAGTATTTTGAAGAAAGAGCAAGGTGAAAAAATTGCTCCTTACATTTTCAAAATAAATGATACTCAGACACTTGAAACCTATCTAAGAAAAAAAAGTATTACTTATGAAATTTACCAAGAAGAAAGAAAAATCATAAGCATTAAGAAAAGAAAGCAGGATGAAAGTGTGCTATTATCCACAAAAAGCAAAAATCCTTAGAAGGAAAATAATCTTATTATTAAAATATTGATTTATTTTTTCATTTTAATTCTTTTGAAATCATAAATCATATATATTCTTTTGTAAAATTGGGTCTTGTGTAATCCATAAATTGTAATCATATTTGATTTATCGATTTAAAAAAAACAAGTAAAATAGTTAATTACAATAACAATAATGAAAAGCATCTGAAACTCATATTAAGAAATTCATCAGAAATATTCTGTGATTTATGTAATTTTTTTAATGCTCACTCTTCATTAATTCTTTTTTTTCTTTCGTAATCTATATAATTGCAAATCCACCTTAAACAATTTTGTTAAATGCTTATTACACTTGGTTATTTTAAGTTTACTTTTAATCAACTCATCTAATGTTTCATGCCACTTGTCCATCCTTCAGTTAATAATAGCTAAATTTAGATCACATTATTCCGATTACAAGCTCCGTGTTTTACACTTCTTTCCTTTGAATGTTCATCATCGTCTTAACCCCATTTTATTTAAACTTCTTTTTAGAAATTTGTACTAATTACACAATAATATCACATGATCGAATCGCCCATCATAATAAAAAACGTTTGTCTGCACAATAACAAACTATTTGAAACATTCAAGCAAGACTGGTAAAATATGGTTCTATTTGTTTTATTATGAATCCGTTTGATCTGATGTTATTTTTAAAACTTCATGCTATAATTAGTCGAATTAATATTTGTTTTATTTATTAGGAAATTAAACAAGTACAAAATTCAAGGATCGGCTCCTCTGACCGTGCGTTTAATTAATATATTACACGGGCCCAAAAGGATCAAACTTTAAAAAGATGCGCATTCAATTACATAATAATTAAAACTATAATTATATAGAGAAGGAATGAATTGAACACAAAGAATGTCTTTAAAACCGAGATGTATCGAAACAAAATGCAAAGATTACATCATCTGTGAATTGTGAATGCAAATATGGAAATAAAATCTTTTTTTTTTTATTATTTAACCGGATAATTTTTTTGGTTTTAATATTGTAAAAATTTTTAAAAATTTAAATTTTTCTTATTGAATAAGAAAAATCGCATTCTTTTAAAAATTTTATATATATACTGGTATATATATAATATAAAAAAAATTACAAATTCTTCCTGTATAACCTCTTTATAAATCAACAATCATGCGAAATATATTTAAAAAAAATGATGATATAGAATTAAATTCACCAGAAAAAACAAAAAAACCCTCCTTTTTCTCCAAATTAATGTTAAAAATAAAAAGTTTTAATACATGGTTTGATAAAAAATTTCCCAGGATTGCTAAATACAAGATAATAATAATAATATTTTTGATTTTATTATTGATTGGTTTATTTATTATTATTATTATTGCTGCTGTCGGTGGATTTTCTTCTGGAGACGATACTGGAGAACCTGGCAGTCAGTTAAGTGGAAAAGGCAATGCAACTTTTTATGGTAAGTTTTATTTTTAAATAAAAAAAAATAATGTTATTTTGTCAATTCATCAATTAATTTATTTTTAATAAATAAAAAAGATCCGAATGTTGCAATTAGTGCATGTGGACAGCAACATTACGATAACGAATTAATTGGAGCAATGGTAAATAGTAGTAATATTTTGTTTCCTTTTAAAACAATTTGGTATATAATAATATAATGAAAATGGTTTTTTTTAAAAAAAAACCTTAGAATAAAGAACAATATGGTAATTTTGCTAATTCTGATGAATCACCAGTGTGTGGCATATGTATAAAAGTCACAGGACCAAAAGGAAGTGTTAAAGTGAAAATCGTTGACAGGGTATTTTTATTTTATTTATTTTTATTTTTAAAAACAATCAATGATCAATTAATTAATTAATAATTTAATGTTTTGCAATATCAGTGTGATGGGTGTAAGGAAGGCGACCTTGATTTATCACCTAGAGCATTCAAAGTAATTTATCTTATTTTATTCATTTTTTTGAATTTATTATATGAAATATCTAAAAATCATATCATTTATCATTTAGAAAATTGCTGATCTAGATGATGGAGTAGTGCCAATTACTTGGGAGGGCTGTTAATTTGAAATATCAGTAATAATCTAAAATCATCTAAATAATCTTAATGTAATTTTATCTTTTGTATATTATATGATGGATAGACAGGTAAATAAAATAAAATAATATAATAAGAGAACAATGATTTATTTATTTTGTAATGTTATTACAGGCAATTTCCAAATACATTACTAATTTGTTAAATTTGTTTTTGTGCAATAGAAATATTTTTAATAAGGGTAAAACACCAAAGTCATAAAAACTTCTTTTGAAATCTGATTCTGTAGAAAAAGACAACGAATGAAAAAGAGACATTTAATTAATAAAAATTAATTAAATATCATATAATTATATATAACACTTACTTGTTCAATTATTTCTGAATGAAAATAAAAAAAATTTGATTCAGATGATGACTAGAAAAACAAAAAACAAAAAATATCCATTAAATTAAATATTTTTAATATATGTTAAAATCCTTCATGAATCTAAATATAATATATACCAATTTAGTCTTCTTTTTCCTATTTGTTTTCCTCTTCCAATTCTTTATCTGCCATAGATTCAACTTCTTTATAAACTTTTGTTATAATAAGAAACTATTCAAATTCAAATGGTTTATTCTAATGACAAATAATTGATTAAAAAAATAAATATTATTATCTCGATTGTTCATATTAATCTTTTTATTTTACTTACATCTTCAATTGCATCCTCAATTTCTTCTTGAAGCATTTATTTTATACAACGGTGGAATAATTTCCACTGGTTATCAATCTCTCACTTAATATTAATCCAATATTTTTATTCCTATTCCTATTATTATTATTACTGTTGTTACTGCTGTTATTGACTATTGATCGAATAGCTCTAATAGCATTTCATTTAATTTTACATCTTTACTAGTTTTTTCTAATAAATAATTCTTCGTGCATTTTTTATTCTAAAAAATAAAATAATTAATAAATTAATAATCAATTATGATGAATTATTTTCAACAATTATTACCTTGTGTTCATTGATATTTAATACAGTTAGAAATGCAAAAGGATCAGAGTCACTTCCATCCACTTTAACAGTTGTGCCTACTGATGGTTGATTTACAATCAATTCTGTTAATTCACTCAGCTCAAACAACTCTGAATCTGAAGAAAACAATTGTTTTAACAAAGTTTTTATTGAATGAAAATCACTATCTTTTGGATCAAAAAAATCAAAAATCAATATTTATTATTTCTTCTCCCTAATAAATACATTAAATTATCAGATACTGAATATTAATTATAGTGATTATAGATTAGGGATCATATTATATAAGAAAAATCAGTAATTTTGTAGTGAATTTATTGTAATTGATGATCAGAATTCTCTTCTTGTTCATTACCATTCTCCTCTGTTACTTCTTCGTCTTCCATTATATCCATCTGATCAGCTGTTTTATCAACTTTGTGTTTACTCATGACTTGTTATTATTTAAAATATTCCTGTTGATCTTATCGATCATTAATAATAACTATTTTTATCTCTTTTTCAAAAAAAAAAAAAAAAAGGAAAAGAAACAAGCAACAAAAATAAAAGTCCATGAAGAAGCTCATGCGTAAGTGTTTTTTTTTAAAGGTGGAGTGGTTGCATGCAAAAACTGCCACTGTTGCTGTTAACTCTAGTTATTAATTTAAAAAAACATGATAGATAATCTACATTTTATTTTTTAATCAATCAGTACATGCATTATACAGCCTTATCATTATTAATAAAATTGAATTTTTCTCAAATCTCAGTGTCCATATTTATTGATCCTCACAAAAATTTAAAAGACATCTTTTAGCAACTGGCGAAATTGATAACAGTATTCATTATGGTCCTTTTGCTACTCATTGGTGGTATTTTTTCAAGTCCAATAACCAAGAAACAACATTTCCAATAAGACATCATATGAGAATCAAATATAAAATCGACCAACAAGAATTTATAGTTAGAGTAGTTAAAGGTACAAGTGATGATGAATGGGTGCCTG